CTTTAAGACCAAGTTTTGTTCAGGTACAAGCTCTCCCTCCTCTGCGAGGACAGATCTGCATGTTCCCCCCCCCCCCACAATAGCTAGCAATTGAAAAGAGTCCAGTGGAGCCTGAGCGGTGGGTGTTGCCTTCTGACACACTTCCGGTGATGTCAGGGGGTGTGGCATATGCAAATAAGTTATGCTAATAAGTTATAGTAATGAGCTCCTGCACCTCTTTTTCCACGAAATGACCCCTGTAAAAAGATAACATGCTGATGGCGGTAGCATCCCATAGGGTCAAATTACACTGGCAGTTATTGTTCAGGTTAACAAAGAGGGTCTTAACAAGTTCAGATGTTAACTGTTCAGATGTTATCAGTATGTAGTCAGCGGTCAGTGGTGGCTCCTAATCGAAGACCTGGTGGAAGAGCTCCGTCTTGCAGGCCCTGCGGAACTGTAGGAGGTCCCACAGGGCCCTGATGTCTTCCGAGAGCTCATTCCACCAGCGTGGAGCGGCCACTGAGAAGACCCTGGCCCTGGTGGAAGCCAATCTGGCATCTTTCGGCCCAGGGAGAATCAGACGGTTTTGAGACCCCGACCTCAGTGCTCTCTGGGGAACATGTGGGGAAAGGTAGTCCCTCAGGTAGGCAGGCCCCCAACCATATAGGGCTTTAAAGGTCAATGAGCAAGCCTTGGCCTGCTTTGGGAACCGAACCCTCTCTCTGCTGTATTTATTAAATTCATTCATACGCCACCTTTCTCCCCAATGAGTACCCAAAGCAGCTTACCTCCTTCTCCTTTCCTCCCTTTTATCCTCACAACAACCCTGTGAGGTAGGTTAGGCTGAGAGCGTGTGACTGGCCCAGGGTCGCCCAACCGGCTTCCATGGCGCGAGCAGGAACTTGCTTGGGGGGGCCAACAGTGGGAGGGGGCTTCTAGTGTCCTGGCCCCACTGCTGCACCTCCTGATGGCCCCTGGTGTTTTTGGCCACTGTGTGACAGAGTTGAACTGGATGGGCTGTTGGCCTGATCCAACATTGGCTTCTCGTATGTTCTTATATAAGCAGAGGCTCTGCCACTGAGCCATGATCCATGGCCCCTCCCAAAATCAGTAATGCCTACTCAGACCAGCAATGGCTCTCCAGGGTCTCAGGCAGAGGTCTTCCACACCACCTCCTGCATGGTCCTTTCTAACTGAAGGTGCCGGGGACTGGACACGGGACCTTCTGCGTGCCAAGCAGAGGCTCTGCCACTGAGCCACGCCCCCTCTTTACAGCTCTCCAGGGTCTCAGGCTGAGGTCTTTCCCATCACCTACTGCCTGGTCCTTTTTTTTTTTTAAAGCCCCCCAGAGGGGATTTTTAACACTAAAAAAACTAGAACAGAAAAAGGGAAAGGGAAAGCTACATATAAGGGAGAAAGTAAAGAACCCACTACTAACTAAAAACCTACTGCCTGGTCCTTTCTAACTGGAGATGCCAGGGATAGAAACCCGGGACCTTCTGCATGCCAGGCAGAGGCTCTTCCACTGAGCCACAGCCCCTCTTTACACCTCTCCAGGGTCTCTGGCTGAGGTCTTTCCCACCACCTCCTGCCTGGTCCTTTTAAACTGGAGATGCCGGGGACTGAACCTGGGACCTCCTGCATGCCAGGCAGATGCTCTTCCACTGAGCCACAGCCCCTCTTGACAGCTCTCCAGGGTCTCAGGCGGAGGTCTTTCCCATCACCTCCTGCCTGGTCCTTTTAACTGGAGATGCCTGGGACTGAGCCTGGGACCTTCTGCCTGCCAAGCAGAGGCTCTTACACTGAGCCACAGCCCCTCTTGACAGCTCTCCAGGGTCTCAGGCTGAGGTCTTTCCCATCACCTCCTGCCTGGTCCTTTTAACTAGAGATGCCGGGGACTGAGCCTGGGACCTTCTGCCTGCCAAGCAGAGGCTCTTCCACTGAGCCACAGCCCCTCTTGACAGCTCTCCAGGGTCTCAGGCGGAGGTCTTTCCCATCACCTCCTGCCTGGTCCTTTTAACTAGAGATGCCGGGGACTGAGCCTGGGACCTTCTGCCTGCCAAGCAGAGGCTCTTCCACTGAGCCACGGCCCCTCTTGACAGCTCTCCAGGGTCTCAGGCGGAGGTCTTTCCCATCACCTCCTGCCTGGTCCTTTTTAACTGGAGATGCTGCTGGGGATTGAACCCGGGACCTTCTGCATGCCAAGCGGATGCTCTGCTGCTAAGCCGCAGCCCCTCCCCTGATGGATGATGGGTCTCGAACAAGGATCTGAATTGCACTGAACTCCCCATCTGTCAAACAAAGCGAAACTCAACTAGGGGCCGTCTGAAGCATTTTCTTGTACTTGTGTCTTTCATGATGGATGGAGAGAAGAACAGGCCAGTTGCTTGAGTGTCTTCGCAATAAAGAAAGCCCAAGGATTACTCATCTCTGTCTTTAGAGAGCCGACAAGGAGCGTCTGTGTTGTTTTCTGACATTTGTCTGCACTTCGGGAATTGGAGGGTAAGGGGGGGGAGGGGAGGGGGGAGCCAAGTTTTGCTGAAAATAAAAGCCTGGTTTTGCCGAAAAGAGAGGGACGGGAGAATTGCCACCTATCTAGCCTACCTCACAGGATTGTTGTGAGGATAGAATGGATAAGTTACACTGGGTCCCCATTGGGAGAGAGGCAGGGTTTAAGTCACTGGTTCCCAAAGTGGGCAATACCCCCCTAGGGGGGGGGGCGCTGGAACGATCCAGGTGGGCGGTAGTAGCCTTGGGTGCAATTGGGGGGCGTTGAATAAAAATAAGGGGGCGGTGGAAGCATAAAGAAAGAAGAGTCCAGAACCTATCTAAAGCAGCCTTTTCCTGCCTTCTCCTGGGCAAATTTCACACAAGAGCTGTGCTGCGGCCGCGCCTCCCTTTGCCCCGCTTCTATTGGTCAATTTCCAACTCGAAGCCGCGCGGCCGCATTTGGACCTGCGGCTTGGCCTGATTTTCCCCGCGGTTTTGTGATCCTCAAAAAACAGGTTCACAAAACCATGGGAAAAATCGGGCGAAGCCGCGGGCCAAAATGCGGCCGCGCGGCTTCAAGTGGGAAATTGACCAATAGAAGCGGGGCAAAGGGAGGCGCGGCGCAGCTCTTATGTGAAATCGGTCAGACTGTATAATGTTAGCCTTGCAGAGACGTAAGCACGGATGGATGGTGTAGTGGTTAGGAGTGCAAACTCTAACCCGGGAGAACTGGGTTTGATCCTCCACTCCTCCACATGTAGCCAGCTGGTGTGGCCTGGGGTCAGCAACAAGTTCCCTCGGAGCTGTTCTCTCATGAGCAGCTCTAGAAAGAGCTCTCTCAGGCCCGCCTACCTCACAAGGTGTCCGCTGTGGGAAGGGGAAGGGAAAGGAGATTGTAAGCCACTCTGAAATTCCTTCAGATAGTGAAGCGCAGGGTACAAATCCAATCTCTTCAGACAGACTCATGGGGGATAGTGGCTAGTAGCCATGGGGCTGTAGGGCACTAAGCCTCTGAATCCCAGTGCCAGGAGGCAACATCAGGGGAAGGCCTTGGCTTCTATGTCCTGTTGTTGGCCCCCCAGGGGCTGGTTGGCCACTGTGTGAGACAGGAGGCTGGACGAGATGGACCACTGGTGTGATCTAGCAGGGCTCTTCTGAGGTTCTTATGAAGGCCACAGCCTCTATGCCCTTGTTGTTGGCCCTTTAGAGGAACTGGTTGGCCTCTGTGTGAGACAGGAGGCTGGACGAGATGGACCATTGGTGTGATCTAGCAGGGCTCTTCTGATGTTCTTATGAAGGCCTCAGCCTCTATGCCCTTGTTGTTGGCCCTTTAGAGGAACTGGTTGGCCTCTGTGTGAGACAGGATGCTGGACTAGATGGATCA